TAAAGCTTGAGACTTACATATCCTGCTTCACCAATACAACATTTATTAAGCACTTACTATGTGCCAGGCACAATACTAAGTGCTAGGGATACAAATAAGAAAAAGAAAGGCAGTCCCTGTCCTCAAGGAGCTTACAATCTAATGGGGTAAGATGATGCATAAAAGGAGGACTAGGGATATGATGTTGTTGATTTGAAGCTGAATAGCTGTTGGGAAATGAAGAATTGGCTGGGCTTCTAGGCCTCTTTAAAGGGAGGCTTTGAGGGGAGTTTTTTTTGCTCCACTCTCCAGCCCTCCAATCAGAGGGGCAGAGGCAACTGAGGCTACTGATGAAGCATGAGTGCCAAAGTTGAAGCATTCTCCATAATGAGGAGCTCCTTGGTAATGAGCCTCTCCCAGGAGATGCATCATGCTAATAGAATTGAATCCAATTAGTCAGTAAGTGGGATGTTTTCATCCTGGAAACAGTTTACATGTAGAAAATAGAAGGAAGGGGTGTATAGGAGGATTAATCAGGGGAGTCTGATCAATTGAGTTCCCCCAGGCCACTTAATAATAGAAATGTAGAATATCATAAAAATAATAGAATATAAGAGGCAGGTAACAGAGACAAAGAGTTGTCATTTGCATTTTGTAAAGGGCAAGAGACCTTTAATTATAAGGGCTTTTTTCATTCATTCATTATTTCTCCTTTCTGTTAAACACTTTGTTCAAAAGTACAATTATATTTCAGTACCTCTAGTTATAGATAATTACTTAGAATTACGTAGAAGCCCCTCAGAAAATGAGATAAACTATGAGACTTCACTTTTTAGTTGGGAATTCTTGACAGGTAAGGGGGAATAAGAATAACAGTAGCTAGCATTGATATAGTACTTCAAAGTTTTCGAAGTGCTTTACATAGGTTATCTCATTTGAATCCACATCAGTCAACAACCCTTCTTCCAGTAAATGCTTGAAAAATTCATAAATCTATGTTTCTAATAAACTCAATTCCCTAAAATACATCATAGAGTGATTCAGTTTATTTGCTTCAACAAGTCCCTGACACTAAAAGGGATACCAAACATGTAATTCCTAACTTAATCTGTTGCGAGAAGTCTTGTAATATTGTTGTCTAAGCACCTCCCAAAAAGGTGGAGGGTAAGTGAGAGAAGGTTTACATATGACTGGGGCAAAGAACTCCATCTTGGGGAACTTTGCAACCTTACTTTACTATGCTTAATAAATCATGTGACCACAGAAAAGTTGATTATTTGTAATTATCAATAGGTTGACAGCAGAAATTTCCCCAGAGGTAAGATGGGGCTAGAAATATAGACATTTCCATATCTTAGTAATTCTGAGCCATATTTCATATCATGTCTTGGATTCATTCAGAATTACTATCAGCGGAGTTTCTCTTTGCCCAACTCTTTGGAGCCAGGCAGCTTGGCAGAATGGAGCTGCATGCACATGCACACGTACGAGACGTTTTAGTGTATGTGGCAACATCAAGCCTTTGTTGCATGTGGGGAAATCAAGGGGACCCTTGGGCTCATGGCTAGCATATAGTGCCCCCTGGTGGAAAAAATTATAAACTACTCTGCCTAGCCGGTTAATAGCCAGGTGACACTTTTTATAGACCTACAAGAGACAGGTCATGCACTAATGTGGGCTATTCCGGCTAGTAAAGTACCCCAAGAGTCACATGGGTGACCCACCAAGTACACAAGGATCCCACACCAGTGTTACTGTCATAATTGTTAAGTAACTTATCTGCTAACATTCTTTGTTAAAACATTCATTTTGTCCAAAAGTAACAGTCTTTTTTATTCCACTAATGTTAATCCTTTCCCTATCTTAACCATCCCATATACACATACCACTAAATGAAGTGGCTATATTTTATACTTTAAATTCTATAAATTTCACAGAGATATAACTTCCAATCAGTCACTCAACAAGTATTTATTAATTGCTTATCACAGCCAGATAATGGTCTATGGGTTGGGGATACAAATACAAGCAAAAAAAATAGTCCCTGCCCCCAAGGAGCTTACATTATTCTAATGATGGAAGATAATGTATAAAAGGGATCTGAAAAGTAGGGTGTGGGTGTGGGAGAGGTACCCTTATTGGAGCATTGTGGCAAAGTCTAGAAAGTCAGAAGCAGAGCCTAAAGAGAAATGAAGGCAGACTGACCTGGGTTCCTCCCAAAAAATGGAGGCCATAGAAGGAACTCAACAATGGGAAAAGGTGGCTGCAGGAACAAGGGAATATTGCACGGGTGAGAAGAACACAAGAACTTCCACCTCCACTCCTTTTAACGTCTGAGTTTTGTTCTGGGATTGTCTCCCACAACTCTCTACCCTCGTTATCCTGAGCTTTTGTTTGTTTGTTTTTTCTCATTCTTTATCTCTGTATGTATCTGAGTGTATAGGGGAGTAGAGCAGGGCACTCTGATCAATGGAGTTCCCCCACCTCACTTGATGAAATTACAGGGTGTAAAGGACAGGTAACAAAGATGAGACTTAAGCGTTCACTTCTTTAGACTTTGAAGTGGCCTGTTTGCACCCTGTAGCAGGTGTGCCTATTTCAGGTTTTAATTGGCCAATGTCAAGAAAGTATAAAGAAACTCTTCAATGAACTTGAGGAAATTATAGGGTAGTTAGTTATTTGCTGGTCATTTGATCCAACCCTCTTATTTCACAGATGAAGAAACTGAGGCCTAGAGAAGTTAAATAGAGGTAGTGTGGAGCACTGAAAAGGACACTGTCTCTGGAGCCAGAAGACCTAGGTTCAAATATTGCCCCTAATGTTTGCTACCTGTATGACCCTGGGCAAATCCCTTCACCTCCCTGACCTTCAGTTTCTTCATCTGTATAGTGAGGAAGTTCAACTAGATGGTCTCTGAGTTTCCTTCCAGCTATGATCCCTGGTCATACCAGTAAGTAGCTGAACTGGGATCCATGTCTTCTGACTCCAAGTAGAGTATTTTTTCCCTACTTTACTACCTCTCTCTCTATTCCTCCCACCATAGTCTTCCAATAAAATTGGTTTTTTTGTCTCTGTTGTTTTGTTTACTTTTTCCACAGGTATTAAGCTCCCAAGTTTCACTCAGGTCAACAAACATTTATTGAGCCCCATTTCTGTGCAAGAAACTAGGGATATAATCATCAAGACAAAGCAGCATCTTCCATTAAGGAGCTGGCATTCTGTTTGGGGGAATACAACATGTGCACAGATAAGAAAATATAAGTTAATTTGAGGAAAGAGATGGCATTAACAAAGAGGTGGGAGCACGCAAGGAGGGAGAGAGGGATCATGAATACTTCCCCAAAAGAGGTAGATCTGATCTCAACTTTGAAGGAAGCTAGGAATTCTAAGAGGTGTAAAGAGACAAAGTAAGTGAGTAAGTGAGAATTTATTAAGCATAGGTACTGGGCTAAAGGCTAGGAATACAAATATGAATAAGCAAGACCTGCAAGAAGATTATATTCTAATGGGAGGAAGACAAAACATATATATGGTTGCCAGGAAGGGGGTAGCAGAAAGATAAGGGGGCAGGTGAGGAGGAGGTAGTGTCTGGAGAGACTCCAGGTAATGGTAAAGAGGGAAGGTATTACAGGCATCTGAGTCAGCCTGCCGAAGACAGCCTGCTGAAAATGGAAAGTGGAATATAAAATTCAGGGGACAGTGAGTAGCCAAGTTTAGCTGGAACATAGAGTGCACCTTTGCCTCAACTTCTTATAATTTTTAAAAATTGTTGAAGCACTTCTTTCTTTGGCTTAATTATCTGAATGGGGTTTTTTTTGTCCTTTTGAGGCTGTCCCATAATTTTGCTTTCTTCTGGTGTATTTATTAGTATTTTTAGAATAATACTGAGAGGATATGGGTTCCCTTGTCAACTTTTATTTCATCATTTTCTAGTACTTTAGTTAATATGTTAAGAATTTAGGGAGAATTTCAACAGGCAGTAGGTTGGCTAGAAAATGTGTAAACTGGGTTGGAGAAGGCCTAGGGAGAAGTAGGAATGGTCTGAATAGGAATGATGGCTCAGAAGAAAGTGATGCAGGCAAGCAGTTTACATCTAAGCTGATCCTCCCCAGCATTCATGAAAGAATTTGTTATTCCAAGATCCATCACATTTTCATTCAAAACCCATTTTCCATTCTTAACTCCCACTGACATTTTCCTCTGCTTCTTTAAGAAACAACCTTTCTAAATCACATTTGTTCCTATGCACTATACCGAAAGCATCCCATTATCTCCAAGGGGGAAAAAAAGGACAAAATATAGGCACAAGGGTGAAAGAGTCACTTATCACAATTATACACATGCAAGTAGAACTGAATTTTAGCTAGTGAACTGAAACTGAATGACAGCTGTTGGAGCCACTGGCAGGAAAGGAAAGTAGGAAGGGCGGCCCGGATGTGGCTGGGGCAAATGCTACAAATAGTGGCTTGGCTTATTGTTTTGTAGATTGTCTAGACTTAAGAAAGTATTAGAAACAATGTTAATAATGCAAAGTAAACTTTAAAATGTGTCCTATGTACATTTTTAGAGCTGTCATTAAACACGTGCAACAGGTTGGAGAGAACTGTGCTCCACTTTCAATTGGAGAAGAAAGTTGGAGGTAACAAGGCCGTGACCAAATGCCAAAGCTGCTGCCCACCTTCCACGGAACAACTGGGAGGCCGGGGGTCCTTTTAAAGTCATGCCGGACACAGGAGTTCGATTCCCGTGTTTCGGTGCCACAGAACAAGACTACAACTCCAGGGACTGGGGATCTCGAGAGGTACCTCACCATAGACTACGGTAGTCGCATCGCGAGCTTGGAAAACCACCGCAAGTCCCTGTCCCACACCGCCTCCGGAGCGCCGGTGACCGAGACCCGGCAACCCCGAAGGAGTCAAGGGCGTCGAGTCTAGCGAGGCGGCGGGACCGGTCACGTGCGCGCGCGCGCACACAGGAGCGCCGGTCACGTGACGCGCCGTGGGGGGCCGGCGCTGGCTGGCTGAGCTGCTGCGGCGGCTCTTGCGGGCGGCTTTCCCGGCCCCCGCTCCCCCGCCCTCGCTATGTCGACTCCGCTGCTGTAAGGAGTCTGGGTCGCTGCCCTGCCGACAGGTGCCGGGAGGCCTGAGCCGAGGGGACGAGGGGCAAGCCTTCTGTGGCCGCAAGCAGAGCGGAGCGCTGAAGGGCCTGGTGAGTGCCGCTGATCACCGCTCCCTGTAGCTACCCCCCACTCCCAGGGGGCCTCCCTAGCTACCTCCCTTCCCTGGTCCCTCCCTTCTTCATCCCTGCATCCATCCTTCCACCCGGCCATCCAGCGTCCTCATCCCCAGCAGCAGCCGCACTCTGGGGCCGGCTCCTCTGGCACCGCCTTCTGCCTCTCGCTTTTTTCTGTCTCCTTCCCCGCTCCCAGCCATGCTCCTATTGCGCCGGAAGAAGTCGTCGCCACCTCCTCCTCCTCCTTCTTCCCCCGCAGATTCCCTGTTTAGGTCCCTCAGCTGCACCCCACCCTCACCCCGCCCCCACCAGCCGCACCCCATGGCTGACTGTCCTCTTAGAATAGCTGCAGTCTTATTACCCCAGTTCTTTACTTCAAGCTAGCTTTGCGCTGGAAAACTTCTCTCTTGAATACGAATTGATGTGAAATGCTGGACTGGGCAGATTAGGCAATTAGCTTCCAAATTAAGGCATTCTAATACCCGCAGTACTAACTAAGGCTAAGATGGCCAGAGGGCCTATGCGAGTTCTGAACACCTTTCGAGTTGGTTCGAGCATTTTTTTTTCTCAGCTCCTTGCACCCTCCCACCCCCACCATGATACAGAAACTGCTCTCTCAAAGGTGAATCACTAGACATTTTTCAAACCTGGATTCTCTTTGGCTCTTAAGCATTTGACATTTTGGACCACCTCCCCTCTTTCTGGATATATAGTCTTCTCTCTCGGCTTTCTTCCTGCTTATCTAATAATTTTTTTCCTCTGTCACCTTCCCTTGCACCTTGTCATTTTCATGACAAGTTAAGGTATCCCAAGATTTTTTTTTTGTGCTTGGCTCTTTACTCCTCCATCTCCTCCCGCCCCCGGCCCCCCTCCCCACACCACTAGGCAATCACATTCATTCATTGCAGCCATTATCCCTATACAGATTATCTCAAATCTATACATCAGACTTAAATCTCTTCAGCTATCCTGCCAACCTCCCAGACTCAACAGATCCTAAAACAAGCTACTTTCTTTTTCTGAAAAATCTGTTTGTTTTTTGTTTTTTTCTGATTTGACTTGTTCCATCTTGTTCAAAACGTTGATGTTAAATTTGATTAAATATGAGAAATAAGGGAGTGGGAAGAAACCATTACAAAATTCTGTTCATTTTACCAGCACAGTGTTGCTTGCATTCTTTCTGTTTCTTCCTTTCTATTTTGAAAGCTTCGCCAAACAAGGCAATCATCTGTCTGGGCTATTGCAGTAGTCTTCTATCAGGTTTCCTAAATTCTCTTACCTCTGGCTCCACTGCATCCTATACACCATAGTTAAACTAAGCTTTATACATAGTCTTGTCAGATTCCTCTGCTCAGAACCAATCAATGGCTTCTTATTGCCTACTGAAAAAAGTACAGATTCCTTACCCTGGTATTTAAAACCATCCACAATAATAATTATATTAGCTCACATTTACTTAATGCTTTACAGTGTACAAGTACCTTAACAGCCTTATCTCATATATCCCTCCTCAATACATTTACCTGCCAACCAAACTAAGCTATTTGCTTGTTATCCATGCACTCTTTATACTTTTCTACCTCTATGCTTTTGCTTAAACTTTTCCATAAGTTTGGAATACCATCCCCTTTATGGTCTCTAATTCTTATCCATGCCTATAGATTCCTGCTCAAATTCTGGTGGTGTGGTACACCCTTTTGCAAATTAGCACTTGGTAAAAGAGTCAGAGGCTCTAGAGTCGAAAAACCTGAGTTCAAATTAATCTGTAACCTTGATATCCTGTGTAACCTTGGGAAAAATCACTTAATCTTCCTAGGCCTCAGTTCTTCAACTATAAAAAAAAAAATTGGACTAGAAAGCCTTTGAAATTACTTTGAGCTCTGGAGCTATAATCTTGAAGGAGTCTTTGATATCCCTTTCCCTTAGCACTTCATTTTTTGACTCTTTTATGTTACATTGTATTATAGTGATTTGTGACATGTGCCCATGTAGACTCTAGGTTCCATCACCTATATCTTATCTAAATCTTGATCTGCTAGTGCCTAGCACAGTGCTTTGCCTAGATTGTTAGTAAATATTTGTGTTGCAATTGGACAGGAGTATTCGTTTTAAAAAATAATTTTATTGATCTTTTGTTTTTATATTACCTATATTTCCCACTGTTTTTCCTTCTCCTAGAGAGCCATGCCTTATTTTTTAAAAAGAATTTTTAAAAGGGAGGAAATGGTTTGGCAAAACTATCACATTGAAAAATTCCAACATCTGTAATATTCCACATCTAGAGTCCCTCATCTCTGTAAATAAGGGAGGGGAATGCTTTCTCATATCTCTTCTTTGCGGCTAACTTGGCTATCATAACTTCATAGCATTCAGTTTCATTTGATTTGTTATTATTATTCTTCCCATTTGTGGTGTTGTAGTCACTGGGCTCCAGAATCAACAGGATTTGGTTCTGTATACTTCATGTAAGTCTTTCTGTACTTCTCTGCTATGTTCATTATATTCATTTCTGACAGCACAGTAATTTTCCATTATATTCACGTACCACAATTTGTTTAGCCATTCCTCAATCAGTGGACATCTACTTTGTTTCCAGTTCTTTTCTACTACAAAATGGGAAGGTATAAATTTTTTTTCATATCTATATGAGACTTTTCTTTTTATCATTAACTTCCTTGGGTCATAGGCCTAGCAGTGGGATCTCTGAGTCAAAAGATATGGATATTTTATTCACTTTTCTTAGCTTGATTCCAAATTGCTTTTCAGAATGGTCAGACTAATTCACAGCTCCACCAACATTGCATTAGTGTGCTGGTCCGTCCACAACACTTCAGCACTATTTCCAGCTTTTGTCATCTTTGGCAATTTGCTGCTAGGCAAAGAGCCTCAGGGCTCTTTTGATTTGCGCTTCTTTTATTAGTTATTTTGAAAATCTTTTTGTATGGTTTTTAATTGTTCACCATTTTTTTGCAGAAATGATTGTTTTATATACTTTGATCCAGCAGTTTATTTAATTCTAGATATTGTTGATGCTGATGTTGTTGATGCAAACTCTCAGTTCCCAAGAGAACATAGTTTCCTTGAGAGTAAGAGCTGTTTAGTTTTTGTCTTTGTGTCCCTAGTGTCATGCACAGTGCCTGACAACATAGTAGGTGCTTAGTAAATGCTGTGGAATTGAATTGAGAGCAGGGACTTCATCCCTACTCCCCACCCCAGAGTAGTGCCATGTGAAAAGACTAAAAGAAATGTTTGAGTAATTAATTGGGTGTTTGCAGTTTGAAAGTCCACACTTGGGGAATGTAAGAAAAATAGCAAGTGGTTAGAATGTGTGCAGCAAGAAGCTTTTATAAAAGTCTTGCTTCTTTAATTTACTTATCTCATAATATTAACAGTGTGGCCTGATCCTATGTCCCAAGTGCCATACCACTATCTTGAGAAGAAAAATTCAGTTTTTGCATATGAGGATAGTTCAGCTTCTAATTTAAAACAGTTATTGGCTTTATATAACATTTAAGGCATGCTGAGACTTTTGGATTTGGTTCCAACTGAGAAATCATTGGTAAGATTTCTGGGTTGGGCTTTCTTTATTGTCTCATAGCTTGTCCCTGAAGTACAATTAGCTCTTCTGGCAAGTTAAGGTCCCTGAAGTCTTAACTCAGAGAGGACTCTTTTTATTTATTACAGTGTTTGAGTGTATACCATGTGCAGGGTACTGTGCTAGAGAAGCTAATAAGACACGTTCTCTATGTTGGAAGGAGAAACTAATTTTGGGAGGAAAATGATGAATTTAATTTTTATATGCTGAGTTCAAAGTGATGGCAGGCCAGTGGAAATGTCTACTAAATAGTTGAGAACATTGGAGTCTTTTGATTAACGAGTGTTAACTGATACCTAACTGCAAATCCTTGAATAATTCAACTGTTACACAATAATACCTTAGCAGTGAATTCTTGAAATTCAGGTTTATGTCTTAGGCTTCATATTTCAGAAGTTCTGTAGACTATGAGGAAGGGAAAAGGAGCTATGTAACTGGAGAGAAGAGCAAAATCCACAGGATTGTCTATAGAAGGTGAATGAAGACTAGACAAGCTAGAGCAAGCAAGGAACACATTTCAGAGAGCCTACATTCAAAGCTAGAAGGGACCTTCTAGTGCATCAAGTCCAAATCCCTCATTTTTACAGAGGAGAAAAAGTGAGTCCAGAAGCTAAGTGACTTGCCAAAGTCTCTGTTGTAGGTGGTATTTGACCCCTGGTCCTCTGATTACAAATCAGTTGTTTTTTCCACTGTACTATGCTGCCTGCGATAAATCTGGGTTTGCTTTATCAAAAACAAATCAATTTAACAAGCATTTTTTACACTCCCTACTCTATGCCAGCCACTGTGCTAGACTAGAGGTACAAAATTTTAAAAATGAGATAGTACTTGATTTCAGAAGCTTACATCCTATTGGGGAGACAATATACACATATATGAGTAGTGACAGAATTAATATACAGAAAACAAGGCAATAAATGACCTTTATAAAAAACCCACATGACGTGGAAAATTAGAGACAGTAATACACTGTTGGTGGAGTTGTAAACTGATCCATCCGTTCTAGAGAGCAATTTGGAACTATGCCCAAATAGCTATAAAATTGTGCGTACCCTTTGACCCAGCAATACCACTAGGTCTATACCCCAGAAAGATCAAAGAAAAAGGAAAAGGACCTATAAGTAAAAAAATATATATATAGCAGCTCTTTTTGTGGTGGCAAAGAATTGGAAATTGAGGGGATGCCCATCAGTTGGAGAATAGCTGAACAAATTGTGGTGGATTGTGATGGAATACTACAGTGACATAAGAAGTGATGAGCAGACAGATTTCAGAAAAGCCTGGAAAGACTTTTGTGAACTGATACAAAGTGAAATGAGCAGAACCTGGAAACATTGTACACAGTAACAGCAATATTGTAAGGATGATCTACTGCAAATGA